GCCCAGGCCCAGAGTTCAGGCCCCATGACCGGACCAAAAAAAAAAAGTGTACAAGTATGGAGGCTACACTTACAAAAATGGTTACAGACTTAAACCTTCCGTGTCTGTCTATATCTGGTTATTTGTCACCCTGGTAAATTGCCCTGGGCCTCTGCCTAAAACTGTCTTGAAAACCAATGGGGCCTCAGCCCAACAACCCTATGTAAAATATCCTTAGCCAGTCTATGTAGAAAGGTGTGCAGTCTATGCAGGAGGTGTGACACTCCATTGAAACTGCTGGGACACAATACCACAGCCCAGCCCAGATCCAGCCCATCTCTTCTAACCTGGAGATTCTGCATGGAAAAAGTTCAAAGATGGTCTATTTTATCTGCTGGACTTCCCTTCTCCCCTTGGGGGGGAGGGGTGTTTAGGATTTGGCCCTAAAAAAATCAATGAGTTGATTGGACATAAAAACCAGTTGGGAGGGGCTGAAAAGGTGGCTCAGTGGTAGAATGCCTGCCTTGCATGCATGAGGTCCTGGGTTCCATTCCTCAGCACCACATAAGCAGAAAAGCTGGAAGTGGTGCTGTGGCTCAAGCAGTAGAGCTCTAGCCTTGAGCTGAAGAGCTCAGGTACAGCACCCAGGATCAGAGTTCAGACCCTACAATGGATCAAAAAAAAAACAAAAACAAAAAACAGTGGGGAATGTGAGAAGCAGAGGGGCAGGACTTCCTTTCCCATGCTGCCATCACCACCACACAGGCGGGGCCACTGGGGGACGGGGCACCGATATACACAGGCTGGATGTTCCAGGGAGAGAGGAGGAGACACGCTGCAAGAGTCTGCAAGAGATGCAACTCCTGGAGCAGAGCAGTGACTGGGCTCTCCTCAGGCTTGAGGAGAGCATGGGCTGACAGAGAGGCCTGCACAGAACCGAGAGGCCTGTGGAAAGGCCTGTGCAGAGCCAAGGTCTGCACAGAGGCCAAAGATCTGTGTAGAGCAGAGAGGCCTGTGAAGGGTGGAGAGGCCTATGGAGAGCCAAGAAGCCTGCGGAGAACAGTGAGCCCTGCGGTGAGGCCTGCGTAGGTAGAGCCCAGAGGCCTTCAGAGAGCCAAAAGGCCAGCATAGAGGCCTGTGGAAAGCCGAGAGGCTCACAAAGAGCAGAGAGGGCCATGGAAAGACTTTCAGTGAGCAGAGAGGCCTGCTGAGAACACAGAGGCTCGCAGAGAGGCCTGTGGAGAGGCAAGATTTGTGGGAAGGAGGGAAAGCAAAAAGGAAAAAAACTCACCTCCTTGGAGGTTGCAGCTGCTCCTAGTTCTGAGGTAACCTAAGATAGGGTAGTTGCAGACCGACTAATAAAACTCCTTTGTCCCCCTTAACCATACCTCTGTGGATTTTCTCACTCACAGGTCCTAACAGAACTACAGACCAATTTCTCTGATGAACACAGATGCAAAGCTCTTCAATAAAATACCAGCCAACAGAATCCAGAGACAAATCAAATAAATCATGCATTATGACCAAGTAGGCTTCATTCCCCAGATGCAAGTCTGGTGTAACATACGCAAATCAATAAATGTAATTCACCAAATCAACAGAGACAAGGACAAGAACCACATGATCATCTCAACAGATGTAGAAACAGCCTTCAGCAAAATACAATATCCATTCATGTTCAAAGCTTTGGAAAGGCTGGGAATAGAAGGAATATTTCTTAAAATAACAAAGGCTGTATGTGACAGGCGCCACAGCTAACTTATACTGAATAGGGAAAAACTAAAACCATTTCTCCTAAAATCAGGAACAAGGCAAGGATGTCCACTCAATTCACTCCTCTTCAATTTAGTTCTACAAGTCCTAGCCAGAGCAATAAGGCAAGAGAATAACATAAAAGGAGAGAGAAAGGAGAAATTAAAGTATTCCTATTTGCAGCTGACATGATCTTATACCTAAAGGACCAAAAAAAAACTCCAACTCCAAACTCCTCAAGCTGATCAACCACCTTGGCAAAGTAGCAGGATACAAAGTTAACCCACAAAAATCAGTAGCCTTTCTGTATGCCAACAATGTACAAGAGGAAAGGGAAACAGGAAAACAACCCCATTTGCAATAGCCTCAAAAAATTACCTAGGAATTAACCAAAGATGAAAAAGTTTTTATAGCAAAACTATAAAAATCTGAAGAAAGAAATCAGAGAGATAGTACCCAGGTCCTGAATTCAAGTCCCATGACTAACAAAAAAAATGAACTAGAAATCAAAGAAGATACCAAGATATGGAAAGACCTTCCATGTTCATGAATAGGTAGAATTAATATTGTGAAAATGGCCATACTTCCAAAAATTATAAACAAATTCAATGCAATTCCCATCAAAATCCCAACATCATTCTTTACTGATACAGAGATGCAATCCACAAATTGATATGGAACAACGAAAGACCTATTCGCTAAAGCAATTCGGGGGGGGGGGGGAGGAAGCAATGAGAGCAGTATCACAATACCAGATTTTCAAACTCTACTACACAGTCATAATAACAAAAACAGCTTGGTACTGGCACAGATTAGACCCAAGGACCAATGGAACAGGTTAGAAGACCCAGAAATAAAACCACATACTCAAAGCATCTGATATTTGACAAAGGAGCCAAATACATACAGTAGGGAAAACAGCCTCTTCAACAATTGGTGTTGGGAAACAGGGTAGCTATATGCAGAAAACTAAAAGTGGATCCCTGCTTCTCATCATGCACTAGTATCAATTCAAAGTGGATCAAAGACCTCAATGTGAGACCCAAAACTCTGAAACTACTGCAAAGGAGAGGAGAAATAGAACTTACAGTTATAGGCAGGAACTTCCTGAATAGAGTCCTAGGGGCACAACAGATAGGAGGGAGATTGGACAAATGGAACTACATTAAAATAAAAAGTTTCTGCACAGCCAAAGACATAGTTACTAAACTAGAAAGATAGGCAACCCACTATGAAAAGATCTTTACCAGCAATATATCAGACAAAGGCCTAATATCCAATATATATAAGGAGCTCAAGAAACTAACCCTTCTCAAACTTAATACACCCATTACTAAATGGGCAAGGGAGCTAAGGAGAGATATCTCAGAAGAGGGAAGAACAGCAAAGAAATACATGAAGAAATGCTCATCATCCCTAGCCATAAAAGAAGTGCAAATCAAAACAACCTTAAGATTCCACCTCACCCCAGTAAGACTGGTCAACCTGTGAACTCAAACAACAAATCTTGGTGGGAATGTGGGGGAAAAGGAACCCTACTGTGCTGTTGGTGGGAATGTAAACTAGTACAACCACTCTGGAAAGTAGTCTGGAGATTCTTCAAAAAACTAAACATAGACTTTACCTACAACCCAGCCATACCACTTCTAGGCATCTACCCTGAACATCATGACCCAGGATATGATAAGGACACCTGCACATCCATTTTCTCTGTCATACTATTCACAACAGCCAAAATATGGAAATCATCCAGATGCCCTACAACAGATGAGTGGATCCAAGAAACGTGGTACCTATATACAATGGAATTTTACACAGCATTAGAAAGACTAAAACAATGTCATTTGCAGGAAAATGGATGAAACTAGAACAAATCATGGTAAGGGAGGTAAGCCAAGCTCAGAGACTCAAACAGTACATGTTCTCCCTGATATGTGGAAGATGTAAAACACACTGGGATATCACAAATTATATTGGATTGTAGATACTCACACACCAAAAGAAACCAAAAGAAGATAGTTTTAGGAGAGAATCACAAAGGTGTAACACCCAAACACCTTTTCATATATATATAAAATAATATACATACTGAAATGAATTCCAAAGATATGGAAACAAAGGACTTTTTCTTAATTTCTCTTTTTCTTTTTCAGATGATTCTGTATTCTTAACCTACATATGGTGTATTCACATGCATATCTGTGGAAGGGTCAGAGGAGGGCACAGAACTTGAGGAAAAAGGATGAAAAGGTAGTAGAGTGCAATGAACATTGATGAAAGTGAACTATGCAACTCATGGGTAGAGATGGGAGGGAGGGAATGGGAAAGAATGAGGGAACAGATGAAACTGTATGAAAGGAAATGTACTTATTACTTGATGCATGTAAATATAGCCCTGTGTATTATCTCTATAACAATATTTTTTTTAAAAAAATATTAAGATCAACAGAACCATATACTGATGGCGCATGTTTATAATCCTAGCCACTCATGAAGCTGAGATCTGAGGATCATGTTTAATGCCAGATCAGGCAAACAAATCCAAGAGATTATTATCTCCAGCTAATTAGTAAAAGGCCGGAAGTGGAGGCGTGCCTCAGATGGTAGAGCACCAGCCTTTAGTGAAAAAGCTAAGCAAGAGATGAAGCCCCAGTGTCAGCACATAGAGAAAAAAAACAACAAAGAAATATTCAAGTGAACATTAGATTTTTTTCCATTTTTGTATTTTAGAAATAAATTAGCTATTCATTTAATTCCACAGAATTCAGCCTCTGAATCAAATTACTTTCAATAAAATATTAGAAAGAAATTCCAAAAGAAACATACTTATAACCTGACATATAAAACTGTTATCCCTCTGTATATCACCTTTATAGTAACAATAACTTTTTTTAAGCCTAAATAAGCTACTGCAAGACAAATTTTGTGCTTTCAGAAAATGTACATTTCCAATTGTCCTTACAGAAAAATGATTAGGAGACAGAGAAGAGTCTGACACATTTTTTTAATTTTATTGTAAAGTTGCTATACAGAGGGGTTACAATTACATAAGTAAGGTAATGAGTACATTTCTTGTTGAACACTGGTACCCACTCCTTTGGTTTTTCTCCCACTATCCCTTCCTTTCCCCACTCCCTCCCTTACAGTTTTGAAGACAAATACTATAGTAATACAAAATATTAAAATATGGCCCAGTAATAGCTTCTGTAAACAAACTGGACAGGTCCTACCTACATTTTAAAAAAAAGTCATGATAAACTTTTCCTTACCTTTACATTTGGCTTTTTTGTTGAAACTCCTCTGTACCAACCTAAAACAAAGCATATAAAGGGTATTAAAATCATATTGTTGTTGTTTTCTACAAATGAAAATAGTTTGTTTTGTTTTTTGTTGGTCCTGGGACTTGACTCTGGGCCTGGGCGCTATTCCTCAGCTCTTCAGCTCAAGGCAAGCACTCTACCACTTGAGCCACAGTGCCATTTCCAGTTTTCTGGTGGTTTGTTGGAGATAAGAGTCTCATGGACTTTTCCGGCCCAGGCTGGCTTTAAACCACGATCCTAGATCTCAGCCTCCTACATAGCTAGGATGACAGGCATGAGACACTAGTGCTCAGCAAAAATAGTACTTTTTTTGTGTGGAAACACCAGGGCTTGTACTCAGGATCTTGTACTTTTACTCAACTTTTTTGCTCACAGCTACTGCTCTATTACTTGAGCCATGTATCCAGTCCATCATTTTGCTGGTTAATTGGAGACTTTGCTGGTTAATTCACAGACTTCTGCCCATCCTTGAACTGCTATACTCCAGATCTCAGCATCTTGAGTAGCTAGGATTACAGGCATTAGCCACCAGTACTCAGCTTAATAGAAGTAACACACACACACACACACACACACACACACGTATACAAAACTTTCCTTAACATACAAACTGTGGCCTTATTAGGCCAACTGTTCAAAAAGGAACAGTTCATTTAGTATCCTGATAGTTGACTGCATTTTAAAAATCAGATATATATTGTCCTTAGGTGGAATCTTTAGAATCTTGCAATATAGATAGATCAATGTCATTTGTAAGCCAGAATGCTTTGATTCATCCCTTCTTATTTATATGTGTTTTATTTCTTTCTCTTGCCTAATATCTCGCTAACATTTCCAATACCAATCTGAGTAAGACCAATGAGGGTGAACAACTCTTTGTTGCCAATCTTAGAGAAAATGATTTCAGCTTTACCCTATTCTACATAATGTTGGCTGTGAGTTTGGCATACAGAGCCTTTATTTTATTACAATGAGGTATCATCACTCTAATAGAATATATTCAGAGCCACAGCCTTTATCATGAAGGAATATTGAATTTTATCAATACTCTTTTGGCCTCTCTTGAGACAAATACACTTTTATCTTTCAATCTGTTGATGTATTGAATTATTTTATTGATCTGCATTTGGTAAAACCTTGTATCTCTGAGATGAAATCAACTAATGCTCCTTCACTTGGGAATGATAAAATGAGACATGTATTTGAATGTAAACATTATTTATTACATTTACCAAAAATGATAAACTCCCTAAAATAAACTGTGCATTACACAGTAAAGACAAAAAATTCAATAATGTACAGCTCACAAGTCCACATTAAAAAATTAAATATTTGCACTCTACATGCACAATATTTGTAACTAAATGTGATTAAAAATTAAGGTAACAAATGAAACATTCTTAGATATGTTAATTTATATTTTATATTAGGGATTTTAGAATGTAAGAACTGTTTAAAGTATATTCTACTTGGTAATATTCACACAAAAGAAATAAAAATATGGAAATTCCTTAAATTAAAAAATAACCATGCCAGGCACCGTTGGCTCATGCCAATAATCCTAGCTACTCAGGAGGCTGAGATCTGAAGATCATGGTTCAAAGCAAGCTCAGCAGGAAAGTCTGTGAGTCTCTTATCTCCAATGAACTACCAGAAAACGGGAAGCAGAGCTGTGGCGTAAGTGATAGAGCATTTGCCCTGAGCTGAAGAGCTGAGGGCCAGCGCCCAGGCCCAGAGTTCAAGCCCCACAACTGACAAAAATAATAATAATAAAAATAATCATATAAGAAGGGATTGATCATATATTCATACAAAAAACAGAAAAATGTTAAACCTCTTAATGGTAATTAATGTACAAAAAGAAGACACTGATAGCACTTAGATAAATAATAGAAGTGGAAAAGATAGAAGTGGAAAAGAAACAAATGTGTGTTTACCATCACCAATGCTAAGTATTAGTTCCTGTATGAATGAAATGGAGGAGAAAAACTGGGTTTATCTTTGTTAACTATGAATCACATCTTCTGTGATTAGTCATGCTAAGCACATTTTAGATATAAATGAAAAATCACTTCAAATTAATAAGAAATAAAAAAGTATTTTTTCTCTTTTAATCTTAAGTTATACAAGCAAGTGAAACACAAAGTACAAAAAAAAGTTTGGAAAAATGTTGAGTCGCGAGTATAAATTTATGAAAAATTAAATAACGTAAAAGGGATGAATATTTTAATATGTAAATAAAATGATAATGACCTGAGTGCCAAGGTACATGCCTGTAATCCAGCTACTTGGAAGGCACAGCCCAGAGGATCAAGAGTTTAAAGACAGTGCTGACAATGTTCATAATACTTAAACAACAAAAAACCAGGGTGAGGGCATGGCTCAAGTGATGGAGAACTTGAGACTGCCTCACATGCTTGAAGTCCAGGTTCAGTCCTCAAAAACACAAAAATGTTACAGGTAATGACCTACCCTTCCACCATAGTCTGTGCTAGATGCTATCAAAACTGAAATTTCAATCACTGCTGACTATCACGTTAGTAAATATGCATCATCCTTTAGATTATGAACCAATGCAAATGAAACTGTACTAGCTCAAAGTACCACTGCAATTGTACTAACAGAGACTAAAGAACAATGTAAGCAGTATTAACCCAAAGAATGAAGTCTCTGTGTATACCAGGCCACACAACAATCAACAATCAGTAACCCTTTACAAAGATTCCAGATGCAAAGCATTCAAGATCAAAAGTACCAAATGCAGGTCAACAAAAAGTGCCCTTTGACAAGAAGTTTCAAGATTTTTATTTCATGGTATGTGTTTCTTATTCTCAAAATGAAAACAAATACAGGCCTATTGACCCTCAACCTCATCTAACAGCAGCACAGACAGTAGACAGGTAGTAGGCAAACACAACGAAAAAGGTAGAAAAGACAGAGCACAATTTCCCTTGCGCCTTATGACTTAAAAGTTTTATTGAAAAAGCATTTTATGAAGGACAGACTTGCATGACAACACACTAAAGACAAATTAAGTAACCAATTGTGAATGAGAGTCAAAAACAAAACTGAAAACCTTTCAAAATGTCTTTCTCTTTGACTTGAAAAAAAACAGACCTCCAAATTTCATTGCAGTAACAAGCAAGAAAAAAAGGATGTATCAGTAAAACTAAAAAGGTTGACATTGAGGGCTATCTAAGTAATAGACTTCAAGGAAAAATCCCTAAAGAAGTGAATTATAGCAAATCAAAAATTTTGCATATGACCCTCCAGTCCTGAAACTACCAAATCTGTAAACTGGTATACAAGAAAAGGCTCCAAGAAACCCAGCAGAAAGCACCAGCTGCAAGGCTGGAGAGCTGAGTAGAACCAATTTACCTTCAGAAGAAAACAACAGCACCCTCAATGACTTTTCATCAGAAATACAGTAGTCAAATAATAATTATAACGAATCATTAAAAGGCTAAGAAAGGGGCTGAGAAGGTAGCCCGGTGGTAAAGTGCTTGCCTTGCATGCATGAGGCTCTAGGTTTGATTCCTCAGCACCACATAAAGCAGAAAAAGCCGGAAGTGGCGCTGTGGGCCAAGAGGTAGTGTTAGCCTTGAGCTGAAGAGCTGAGGGACAGCACCCAGGCCCAGAGTTCAGGCCCCACAACCAGCCAAAAAATAAATTAATTAAATGCTAAGAAATTTTCTATCAACCCAGAAAGTCCTGCCTAGAGGAAAATAGCCTTCAAAAATGAGAAGTCCAAGCTGAAAGAATAAACAGCAAATCTGCCCAGTAAGAAATACTACTAGTCAGATGCAGTGGCTCACCTACTATTCTAGAGGCAGAGATCAAGAGGACCATGGTTTCAAGGCCAGGCCAAGCAAAAAGTTCACAACTTTTAAAGCTGGAGGTGGTGACACATGTCTGTCATTCAGCTACAAGGAAAGCATAAACAAGAGGCTGGCTTCCACAGTCAAGGCTGGTACTGGCATAAATGTGTGACCCTATTTGAAAATGGGTTCTATAAGTTTGTTTCTATTGCTTTCCAGGAAACTTCCTCAATTTTATTTTGCAATTTGGGGGGGGGGGTAATGTATGCCAGTACTGGGACTTGAACTCATCAAATTCTCTTGCTCTCTTCTTGGCTTTTTCTCTCAAGGCCAGCATTCTACCACTTGAGCCACACCTCCACATCTGGCTTTTTGCTGGTTAATTGTAGATTTCTGTCCACGTGGGCTTCAAATCTTGCTCCTTCGATTTCAGTCTCCTGAGTAGCTAGAATTACACCTTGAATTACACCTTGTGTTCAGGTATGATCCTTCTATTCCTACTTTCTTCAGTGCTTTTTTTTTTTTTTTTAATGGCTTGTACTCTACACAGGAGCTGCACTCCGGTTCTGACTTGTTGGTTAATTGGAGGTAAGAGTCTGATGAATTGTCTGACTGAACTATGATCCTCCAATCTCAGCCTCCTGAATAACAAGAATTATAAGCATGAGAGGCAATAATTTTCTTTTATACCTTAGACCTAGACAGATACTCTTTTCTTTCTGCTTAGAAAACTTCTATGTGACCTATGGGAATATATTTTATTCTTCTCATGCCTTTCCCTGAGTCAGCACACTTCTCTGTTCTGTATATGTGTCTATGCTAGTCATTATTTTATATTATAGCCATGTTTGTAACTTTTAGCTCAAGTGTTTGGTGACTGACTTGCTGCTATGCAAGGCAGATGAGATTACCTCTGAAAGGTTTAACTGTCTTGTACCTTGGATAATTAGAATTAGACTGCCAATTACATTTTCAAATCCATAGTATTTATAAACGCATGTGTGCATTAAAAAGATTCAAGGGGCTGGGAATGTGGCTTAGTGGCAGAGTACTTGCCTAACATGCATGAAGCCCTGGGTTCAATTCCTCAGTACCACAGGAACAGAAAAAGCCTGAAGTGGGCGCTGTGGCTCAAGTGGTAGGTAGAGTGCTAGCCTTGAGTGAAAGCAGCT